GGGTCGAGTCCAGCTAGACCCGAACCCGGACACGAATAGTAGTTAGGTATAAAATTCAGACCCATACCTAGACCCAAGGTCGGGTCTACCTGTCAAGTACTGGGTCTAACCAGTTCCCAGTTCTGGACCCGACCCCATACCCCTGTTGTAATCCCTACATGTAGTACGCTACAAGATGACAAAGACTAAACCACATAAAAAACTCAAAGGATGAAGTGAGTACTAACCCATTAGTTGTAGAATCAGTCCCAAAAACTAGAAAAACCCATTAGTTGAATCATAAAGGAGAAGAAGTGAGTACTAACCAGAACTGGGAAGTAAGAGCAGGGCCTGTAGGCCAGTGAACCAGTTCAGAACCAATGCTCTCGAAGAAAAGACCAGTTAAGCTCTTCCCATTAATGGCTGGTATGCTTGATGGTGCTAGCCACCCAATCAACCCAAAACCTATAACATTCAGATCCGTTCGAAGCCAGTCTCCCTTATAGCTGGGAAAAGAAGCCCATCAGAGAGAGAGAGAATCAACAAGTTTTTGTGTTGATGGCCTAGTTTAAAGTAAATTACCATGAGAACCTTCCTTTAGAACTTTTTGCTCTGCTAAAAGGGTTTGCAATAGCACTGGAACTTAAGAAACCTGACATTGGAGGAGATTGTGGTGAAAAAGAAGATAGGAAAAAGTCATGGATAATTTAGAGGAGGTTTTACTCCCAGTTATAAATAAATAGATAGCTAAAAGAATGGATATGCATAAAATTACCAGATGAAAGATTGAGCTTAGTTGGGCTCCTAGAAGGAGAGAGAGATGGGGTTCCCAAGCCTGCAACTGGTGTTATGAGAGAGTTTGTTGCCATTGCTGCAATTTCTTCTCTCCCTACACTAGCTAATGTGTTATGGCCATGAGATGCGTTTTGTATTTGACATTTTCTCTCTAAAAATATTGAGATGGTTTCTCTCTCTAAATTTTTTTTTGGTAGTCTCTCTCTCTAAAATTAGGTGTAGTTTCTCTCTCTAAATGTTTTATAATGGGAAATTTTTTATAATGGGAAAGTTTTGTTATATGTATTGCTGTATACCAAATATGTGTAACGTTATTTTCACATGAAAATATTTTGCATGAAAATGTTTGGTACCTACCAAATATGTCCTAAATAGTATAGGGAAAGGTTTCTATGCTTCGCCTATAGCATAGAAGTTATATCCGCCCCTTACCATCCAGCCGTTCAATTTTGATCAAGCGAGCCACTTACCATTTGATCTTAGATCTGACATCTTAAAGTATTTTAGTTTTAGTTTTTTTTATACAAATTGTATGAATATGAAATTTGGTACGTGCCATTTTCTCATTGGGACGCACCTATAAAAAATATTAAAAATAATTTTTGATTATATATAATGACCAAAATACCCCTTGAAATTTTTAGGGGTATTTTGGATATTTTATTTTATTGAAAATATTTGTTTATATTTTTTGCTAGTGTGAGTTTAATAGAGGAATGGACATCTAAAATTTGGTATCAAAATAGTTCATAGAAAAAAAAAAAAATAGTATAAAGATGTGACATTGTGATTGGGGCAATCTTAGCTCTCCATTTAGAATGGATAGTTGGATAAAGGGAATGATAGAATTTCTGATGTATGAGAAGTATAGAGAGCTTGCCCAATAGTATAAATCTAAATTACGCAAATAGATGACCCAAATGAGGGATTTTGTATAACCTGGGTATTATACCCAAATGAGGGATTTTGCATAACCTGGGTATTATCTACAAGCTATCCAAACAGTAATTTCTCAATAACCAGGTTTTGGCATAACCAAGGTTTGCATAACTATGTTATGATCCAAAACATGATTTTGTTTACCCTAGTTCTCCATGAAATTACTGTAACAACTTTTGGAAAGTTGTTTTCTTTCCTTTTTGGCATTTTTTGATAAAATCAATTGATTTTTATTATTTTCATCATTTGTTGTTAAATTTATAGAGATTACTTCACATTGGCAAATAAGGGAAAAGATCTCGTCCGCCCATGGGCTGATAGAATAGCGTAAGCCCAACAATCCAAATTGAATCTAACCCAATCTGACAGTCACGACTGCATTTTATATTTTAATTTTAATTTTTTTCTACAAATCCAAATCACATGAAATTTGAAACATCTATTTTTCTCATCAAGGCATGCCTAATAGAAATATTAAAAACTTATTTTTAAAAAATAAATTGATCAAAATACCCCTAAAATTGTAGAGGTAGTTTGATCAATTTACTTTTTTGTGAATATTTCTTTGATATTTTTATTAGATTCGTCTATCTTTAAAAAATAGACTCTCCAAATTTCAGTGATTTGAATTTGTAGCAAAAAATTAAAATTAAAATATGAAATACAATTATGACTATTGAATCGGTCAATATTCAATCTGGGTCATTGGGCGATTGCTGTAGCTGTCAGCCAACTGGCCAACCCAGACTCTCCCAAAAAAGAAATATCAAATCCATTTTTCTTACCATAATACCATTAACTGATTTCTTTTTTTGATACCGTCAACTAATTATGTCAAAGAAACACTAATAAATCTAGTATACAAGGGCATAATAATAGTTAGGGTTTGCTAATGGATGAGCAAAAACCCCGATCACTCTTTTTCCAAAACTTATCTTCACTCGATATCTCTTTTCTCTCTTAAGGATATGACTTACATTGCTTCTATGACAAGCCATTTTATATTTGATGAAAATACACTCCCAAAAGAGCAAAAAATCAATAAGAGGTTCTCAATATTTCCTAATGGGAGCCATCAGATAGATCTTCATGATGTGATTCAAAATGAATATTACTATATGAATTTTAATTTTTTCTGTTGAAAATGGATCATAATAAAATTTTAGACGTGTGTAGTAAAAACTAGGGCGCACAATTAAAAAATATATAAAACATATTTCCCAAAATATAAAATGATCAAAATATACCCCTGAAAAATGACAGGCTTAATTTAGTCATTTTAAATTTTTGAAAATATTTTTTTATATATTTTATATGGTGCAAAATAGTGTTACGTATATACACCCAAAATTTCAACTTAATCAAATTTGTCTGCATAAACTAAATTCATGAAATCTCAGGTAAATTCCCAAAGAAAATAAACTTTTAGATGATATATATCCATTATAAAGTAAAACTTCATATTCTTAAGTATGACATCACCTTCATCTTTGTAGGGAAACCTTATTAGAAGTAAACAAAGTTGACATAAATAACACCAACTCATTAAATAACAGGTACTATTTATTTATTTTATTTTACTATTTATATAATTGTTTAGATAGAGCAAAAGTAAATTTTCTACACAAATTACATTTAAATTTTAAATTACCACTTTTAAATAGGTTTGCTTCTAGGATTGAGATGTCCTTTTAAATAATCGTTAAAGGTTCCAATCAAGATTTTGTTTAGAAAACTCCTAAAAGTATAAAAAAAAGAAAAAAAAAGGTATAACAATTTTTGTATGTCATTTGTTCTCCTGAATCTTTACTTGCAAGGGACATTTGTGTGAGTCTCTTCTATCTCTTACTTCTTATTAATTATTTTTGTTCACTCTTAATTTTTGGATTTTGTCAGTATTATATGTGTGTGTGAGAATGGCATGGAAATCTCAAACTACCTTATTGACTTTACTTTTTTGTGTGTTAATAATTATTTATAAGCAATACTAACATTTATTTGTTTAGAGGAACATCTTAGGCTGTCAACCACTAGGGAGCTTAAGAGATTTGTAAGCAAAGGTACAAACTATATTAATTCGATTCGTTAAACTTTTTTGTGCCTACAAGATTTTGGTTATAGGCTACAATATAAGAAATATGTCACATCAATTTTAAAGCAATTATATTTCTACATATTCATTCATCGTCTTCATCATCATAATTTTTTATAGGAGCAACCTCCAACATCAACGACTTAAGAGATATATTTTGAAGAAAAGGTAAGACGAATCTTTATCCAAATATATTATCTTTTTTTATTATTATATATCATATTTTTTTCTAATCTTACAAATATAGTCTTTCTTAAACTTGATTCTTATATTTCACTTTCTCATAAGACAATTAGGTCGATTCATTTTTGGACAATTTTGTATTCTACCAAGAATTACATCATAATTCTACATTATAGAAATGTTATATAAAAATGCAAAGTATTTGTAGATATATATCTTCGCTACAATGTCCCTCATTATTGTAATCATTATTTAACTCTCTCAGATCAGCTATTACAATGCTACTTACATTTTTCTCCAATAATTTTTTACTAATCAGTATGTTAATGCCACATATAGGGAAGCAACAACGATCACAAACATGAAAGCGATCTAGGGAATATCGTTATGCAGCATGAGTGTGTACCATAACTAGAACATACAACAAACAAAAGATCAAACATGCCACACAAGACGATACATTATTCTCAAACAAATTTTCAATACAAATTTCGAAACTATGGAAAGCTACTTAGAGATACTTTCAAATTGCTCACACCATCGCGCGATGAGACTACATATAAGCACCCAGCTTTTGTTGCTGCAAGGGACAAATTCTACTATCATACAAAGAGCCTCCTTTAGAAATATGGGAATTATTTATAGGAAAGGCTGACATTACAAAATATTCCAAGGAAATACCCGATGATATAATTCAACATTTCAGTTCACTATATTCTTAGTCCCCGAAACAATGGAAAATCAGTATCACAGAAAAGGAGTTTTCAAATTTAAAATAAGAGGTCAGTTATACAACTATGCTCCACAATTGATTCCAGAAACTGATAAACTGAGATTTCTACAATTATATTATTATGATACAAAAAATGAGACAAGCAACAAATTACACCAAATAACCAATTTAGATCCAATAGTAGTTGAACACATTCAAACCTCATTAAGAATATACAATCCTTTTGTGAAAGTGTTCCGAAGTCTTATTGAAATCGAAAACTTAGAAGAATACAAGATACTGTTGGAACAAAATAACGTGACAAGGAGAAAGAACTTTCGACATTGAGAAAGCCTGACTCACCCTTGCCTAGTCAAACCCAGCAAGAAAGAGCTGAAGATGCAAGCCCCTGACGCTAACCCACAAGGGAAGCAAGCAAGGACTTTACTAAGCACTTAACTTACCAACGCAAAGCAAGTTAAGCCAGGGAGTTATTCTCTTGTATTCCTAACTTAGATCAATGAGTTGTAAGGACCCGTCGTGCATGACGAAAGAAGTCGTCATGCATGGCGAAGGAAGCCGATGTGCATGACGAAGGAGCTGTCGGGCGTGAGAGGATGCTGTCGTGCATGTCACCACCGTGCGCGACACTACCATGTGTGACACCGGTGTGCGCATCACCGTCGTGCGCGACACCGCAGTGCGTGATGCCACCGTACGTGATGCCGTCGTACGCGATGTCGCCATGCACGTTACTGCCATGAGCGTTGCTGTCAAGAAGGAAGCTATCGTGCGCGTTACTGTCGTGAGCATTGCTGCCAAGGAGGAAGCAGTCGTGCATGTTGCCGCCAAGCACGACACTGCCGTGAGCGTTGCTGCCGAGAGTGAATGTATAGGGTCATCCAGGGAACTTTTATGAGTGTCATGTCGCACATGTATGCCACACTGAATGCCATTGTACGACACCTGTATGCCCCTTTTATGCCACCTGTCTGCTGCCTGCCCCTTTTTGTTTATAAGTACCACCTTTCACACTCCTCTCAAGAGTTTTTCTCTCTCTCTCCCTCCCTTGACCTCCATTTCAAAACACTTAGAACCTCAAGCTTGAAATAATTTTGGAAGCTTGGCCTGTGTGGGGGAATACTTTGAGT